TGTGTGTGTGTGTGTGCATGAGTGTGTGTGTCTGTGTGTGTGTGTTTCGGACACATGGATTAGATGAAGCAGGAGGATACCGGCGTGAGCGGCTTGTCATTAGCATCGTTAGCATTAACGTCATCAACATTGAACACATCAACAGCAGCACAAGAAGGCTGAACAAGACTTCAAGCAGCAACATGTTTTTCATTTGCGTATCATAATTATCATTTCTACGCTTTTGTACTATTTCCTCTTGTTTCATTCTCAGACAGCTCAACGGAGCACAGCAATCAACGATTAAGATGGATGCTGGAGCTGTAAAGAATGCTCTTGTATTTTTGACGTGGACAGTCACGTCATTTGCATGCCATGCAACTGGGAAATTATTTCTGAGTTCAGTGCTTGATGAAGGATTCAAAGGAGACTTACGGATCAGCTTTTTATTAGCTGGCCTGCTGACGGTTTGTCAGATAGGTGAGTTGAGTTGTCGTAACTGTTGTCATCGCTGTTGTAGCTGTTTTGTTGTTGTTACTGTCATGATAGCCGTAGTTGCAGGTGCTGTTGCGTTTTGTATGTACTCCAGAGTCAGACAGCATCGGAAGTAGTAAGCAAATTATTTAACATATGTATGTGTAGAACATTGAAATAATGACAGTACATGTTAAACGAATCCAAAAGTAGGGCAAAGTGTTGCCCAATAAGTAAAAATTAATTTAGTCTGTCTAGCTTTCAAACGTTTGCTAAGTGAGTCTAAGGATCCCTCTCTATGTTTATTGTCTCCATAGAAAAACTACTTCCGTTTACAACCTTTCTCTGATATGATTACCTGTTTCGCAGAAAAACGCAGAAATTGAATTTATCTCTGCCTCAGTAATGCCTGGACTGACTAAACGCACAGGCGTATGTGCTGTAGTGATTAGGCTCCTTGCAGTAGCAAGCTGAAGAATTGGGTTGAATTCGCGATTTATCAGTAGCATTTGTTGTTGTTGTTGTTGTTGTTGTTGTTGTTGTTGTTTTGTGGGTTTTTTACTACGAGTATCACGGTCTTTCTGCTGGGAGGTTGCATATCTTTCAAACCGGATTGGCCCTGACAGACAGTGTCGGAAGACTGCTTCTTAATTTATCTAAACTGTGTCGATGGAGCATAAAAACACCTACATAAAAAAACAGTTTGAAAGCGGCTTATTTTGTAAAGATTTCCTGAGTTGTAGTCCACCACGATATCTAGTTTAGTAGGCTACATATATAACACAATGCTAAGAGTCACAGGAAATGACTCCTGAGAGTTGTCCTAATCATTCTTATTCTATTCTATATACCCCCTCCCCCCCAAAAAAAAAATCGAATTAAAACAGTAAAAAATAAAGTGAAAAAAATGTGGGTGGCTGGTGGGTGGCTAGTGGGTGCTCAGGTGTGGTTTGCTCCTTTTCTCCTGTCAAACATCTGTCGTCCTTATCTCAGCTCAGATTTATGTTTCTCTCTCTCTCTCTCTCTCCCTCTCTCTCTCCCTCTCTCTCTCTCTCTCTCTCTCTCTCTCTCTCTCTCTCTCTCTCTCTCTCTTTCTCTCTCTCTCTTTCGCTTGTAATACCTGTATTCTTCGACACTTTCGTCTGTCCGCTTTAACAACAACAAAAAGAATTTTAGTTTATTAATTTGTCAATTGGCACGTATCTTTGTATGGCACTCTTCTTTGCCTGCGATCAAACTTCTTTTTTTTTTTTCAATCAAAGACCAGTTACAAAGTTTTTTTCATCTGTGCCCTACTTTAAAAACCGATTGTTTTTCTTTTTCTGTTGTTGTTGGTTGTTGTTTTGTTTTTTTGCTGCTGTTGTTGTTGTTTTTTGGGAGTGGAGGGGGGGGGGAGCACACACATGATCAGTACAATGGATGATTTACAATATCCTAGTTTAAAATTTGCTCATTTTGTGACAATAACGAACTTAACGTAAAATAACGAAAGCAGCCTTAATACCTTTCATAAGAATCTCGACATCACCTCAAAATACCATCAGCACGCACTGCATTACATCAACGGCTTTATTACTCGCAGTGTCCCCAAGATTACCCACTAAGTAAAGTGTAAGATTTCCTTGACACCAAGTTGTCAAGCTGGCGAAAACCACAACCACGCATAGTTTATACATCTTAAGGTCAGGGTGGGGGGGGGGGGGGGGGAGAGTATTGACTTATATTCTCTAACAGTATGTATATAATGTGATAGTGAGGGGTGTAACATACACTTTCCCACCACAACTCATTATTACATTTACTAGCAAACCGGAAAGGGTTTCTGGACCGTATGGCCAATCGTAACGTGTAATAAGGAATGCGGCTCAAACCGTAGGGGAACACTCGGCAATTAGCCGACCCGCCGGATATCAAGAACCCCCAGCCGCTGCCTGTAAATTTGACGTCCGGCAATCCGACCTTGAGGGGAATACCGACTAATCTTTGAAGTTTGCTGCGCCGGGGACAACAAAACTGATTGCGGCCGCACCTCGTTAGCAACATTCTACTCACTAGGCCCAGTCTGGGTGAAACTTCACACACGTGAGTGCATCATGGCGGACAGAACAGTTCGGAATGGTTAAGCGATTTTTGTGGTGTTAAAAAAAGAAACAGAAAAAAAGAAAGCTACGTCGCATGTGGTCAAAGGATTGGTTATTGAAGAAGAATGCGCTATCACATACAAATCTACTGGATGAGATAAGAGCATTTCCAGTGACAAACTGTACTGTCTCATTTACATTGCTAGGTCTCTGTTACACATTATGATTGGCAGTAGGGTCCAGAAACCTGTCTGGTCGGCCTGTACATGTAAATGGCCCTCAAGTGGGCAAACACAACCCCCGTTCGTTTACGTGAGTGACGTCACAGCAGCACATTCTAATACAATGTATAACTTCTTTGATATACAACAGCGACACCCAAAAGGGTACAAGCGGTGGATAAAAGTAAGCTGATACACATGTATATATTTTATATT